GAGAGTTGGCGAGTGAAACGAAAAGTGGCTGGTAATATAAAATTGTATACTAATGAAATACATATAATATACAAGTTTACCTTGGTTTTCATATTTTTATTCAATTAATTAAATTTAAATGGATACTTATATATTTTTATAACATTAAATGATTTAATAACTGCATATTATAATTATATTACATATACATTGTACATTTATGAATAATATTCGTTGAATATTATAGATATGATAATAAAAAAAAAAATATATATATAAACAATAAATAGTAACTAGATACTAGATGATTATTTCCATCTAAATATTTCAGAAAAAGTATCATAGGTACACATTAAAAATGTAAAACATATTCGATATTATAATAGGCTATTCAGTGATGTATTCAGATGTTATAATTATATTCAACGTAATAATAATTGCGGATGAAATTATTTATGCAAACAAAATTAAAGACTGAATAATATTTGTGTTAATACACAGACAACAGTAATGCATATTAACATATTTCAGTGACTATTTAATAATTTAAATTTTAAATCAAAATCAAAATTTTCTTACTGACTATTTGTGGAGTGTCAAGAAAGTTCGTTCAATAAAATGTCTTCTCGATGATACTTTTTTGGTTTTGACATTATAGGTATGCTCAAACAGGAGTTTATGTTGTAAGATTTAAGTTAAGTAATTACAACAAAAATGTAAACAAATAATACGGCTTAGAGTTAAGGAATAATAACATAGTAGAAGTGAATTGTTGGCTCTCACATTMTAAACTCTATCGTTGTGTCAAAACGATAATAAATATCACTCTCAAAGAGCCAGTGACACAATCTATCGATGGTACCAGGTCTGTACACTATAAGTCAATAGGTACTTTTTTTATGAAAAGTCAAAATAATAAGATATGATAATAATAAATTCTGTTTAACTTTTTTTTACTTATATTTGGTATAATATTATGATATAATTAGGTTATTATAATTCAATTTTGGGCTGTGATTACGTTTTGATTTTAAAATATTTAAAAATAATAAACTTTAAGTGCACTTAAACTATACAATTATACCAGATTTTTTTCTAATTTTTACAATTAATAATAAAAAAGACATGATAATAGTTCAATAGCATTATTTTGATAAAATTATTACTATACCTATTACCAATATTTATTTAGTAGGTATGCTTACAATTATTGTATAGCTTTAGTCTGAATATTTTGTTTRTCAGACCTCGAAATATCGAATGCAATATTGTTTTGTTATTTATTTAAAATATGTCCTGGTTATAATTAATTAAAATACTCAGCATATTTTTATTCTAAGGGATTTAGAATTAAATCAATATAAAATATTTTATGATGATGCGTGTGACCATTATATTTTTATCATTTTTTTTCGTAACCAACTTTTCAATAAACTAAAAAATATGGTACTATTATACACCCTGTGTCCCAGAATTTTTTTTTTTTAATTGGCCCGTGGTAAACGTATTTAGGACTTTTCTCTTATGAACACGAAATATGTGTGATATTGTTATAAATTTAATTATAMATTTTCTAAACTAAAAGTGGTTCGTATCACAAACGAAACAGATTCGACCTACCTATTAAGTATCTACGAACATAAACTAATATAGGTCTTTAATAATATTATTAATAGCGAACTTGTTAAGATGGTGATCTTTTTATTCAAAAATAAGTCACTTATTAAAGCCTAAAGGTGCTACCATTAATTTACGGAAGTTGTGATCACTTTTAGCCGTCGCATTAATGATTTGTCATTTCGCTCGACTGTTAATAATCTTGAGATGCTTCAACTGCCTATGGTTATGTTTCTTAACTTTTTAAAACTATAGTGGTGTTATGATGAAAAAAATATATATTATATTGACGATAACGAATTTTCTTATAGTTTTGACAGAGTTTGTTTTACTACATAAATGGGCTTTTTGGTTCAACCCTCTTTTCGTTTCACTGTTAGTTTATTATTAGTTTTCTTTGCATCTATATATGATCACCACTATCATATTTTTGAAAAGTTGCAGTTTTATACTTGTTGCTTATTTCAGAACTTATATATGTGATTAACAATACGATACTGTTAATGGAACTTAAATTCGTAATGTTAGATAATAAATAAATAAAATTAATGTATTAAATATAATTGTAGAAATAAATATACGTAAATACATAATCTCTTATTCAAAATCTTTAAAATAACATTAAGTTTTAAAATTAACTTGGTAGCACAGAAATAAATTACATTRAWTACCTAATGAGATGAAATTGTGTGGTTGAAACATTTTACCAAATTTTACTATTGTTATTAAATCATATTTGACATTATATTTTATTTATTATTAAAAAAAATATATATATTACTCAGAGGATCATGTAAAGCTTACAGTAGAAATCGGTAATATGTTTTTTATTGAAAGCCTAAGTATTCATGTCACATACATTCAATTTCTCATTTAACTTATCTTRTATTATTATATTTACAAGCACATTTTACCATCGGTTAGCTTAAATGATTGAACTGTTATTATTTGTAAGTAGATGGATAATTGTATTTGATGTGCAGGTATGTTTATTTAAGTTTAATTTGTGAACACTTTTGTGAGGGGATAGATGTTAAAAAATGTTTAATGAAGTAAATGTATAGGTTTAAAGTCACGAATAAGTATAAGTATCAAATACTCGATTAGGTAGTCTAATTAAATAGGTAATTTTTTATGTCTTCAATATTGTTTGAAATCGTAAGAAAAAAATTAACCCACAACTGTTGAAATAGTAAAAAAAAATATCATTGAACCATATTCATTATTGAGTTCCATTAAATATTAGTTTTTAAATGCAAAAATTWTCGTTTATTTCAAATTTTTTATCAAAACATACAACTAAACTGAGTTGAAATGATCGAATAAAGACGATTATTCCAACCAAAACCGTCTGGATTTTTTTTTTTAAAAAGGTCGTTTTAGTATCTAAAGTGAATCGGGAGTTGGGTTGAGCATTACCGCATACATTATGTGTACAAAAAGTATAAAACCAATAGTTTCTAAAAAGTATTTTCGTAATTATATCCTGGATTATAAATTGAGTGTATTAATAATGATATATTATGCACATTTCGAAAAGGATTATTGCCAATTATTTTTATTTTATATATCACATTATAAAATTATGTATTTATGGTTTTAAATATTGTATAACAATAAACATTATTATTAATTGGTACAGTGAGAATCAAAAAATAAATATAATGAATATAGAAAGGTATTGTTTATTGTCGATTTAAGACTTAATGGTTTTTGTTAAGTTCTAAAATCTCAATGTGTGTTTAAGAAAAGTTAATACCTACCTATTAAAATACGATAATGGCGAGTGTATTTTAAAACATTTGATATTTAGATAAGTATTTTCTTATATTATATACTAGCTGATTACGTGCACTTCGTTGGCCGTTAAATGTACTAAATCTATATGACTCAAACTTTGTGCAATTCGTTATTTAATAATCGGTGTATGGTGTTCAAAATTTATCTTAACTTTTCAGTTACCTGGAATAAAAATTCTGATTCGCAGAAGTATAATATTATCAGGTAGGCAATYTACCTGCGGTAGATCGCGGACCTCGTGCTGTTTTTACATAAGTGTACTTAACTCTAAAGTATTAAAGTTGAACCAAGTTTGTCATTTTTATTTAATTCCACTAACGGTAGATTAATATAATCAATTAATACAAAATCCTTGATTATGCTAGCAGTATATTTTTATATATATAAATAGATAGCTGAATTACCCAACGTTGTCCGGGAAAAAAATTGTGATTTATACTGTAAAGTGTAAGTTATAGTCGTATWTTTTTCATCGAATTTTTTCTTTTTGATAATACTAATACGCATGTGCAGATGACAACTCTCTCTGTCTGATGCATATAAAATTTAGCTAACGCATGTGCATTAATTGTTATTCTGAGCTTACACGGGAGAAAACAACATAAAATTATCCATGAGTGAAGCAGGGATCGCTGATGTCGAYTCCTGCAACTTTCATTGTCTGTTCTTGTGCCTTATTAATTGACAACAAAACAAAGTTTAATAGGAAATTGGACACGTTTAAATTCGAAKGGATACTCGTTTGTTATCATTGGTATTCTTGGGATATATACAATTTGACCACTCGCTGAGCCGGTAAGAATTTCAGCTTCAATAAGGTTTTTTTTCAAATATAATATTTTTAATCTCATTCCATTGCACAATTTGGGAGCATTTAAATTTCGCATGAGAATAATAAGTGCGCCAATTTTTAAATCAAGTTTGTGTG